AAATATAATTGATGGATGACACCCTTATAACAATTTCTACCTAAATCATATCATGATTAAGGCCCATTTACTCTTCAATCCTTAACTCTTTGAGAGCTTGCGTAGGGCGTTAGGTTTTTGGTAGGCTTTCAAAACAAGTGGGCAATAACTGTAACAACTGTTAATTAACGAGAGAGAGAGAGAGAGAGAGAGAGAGAGATGGTTTGCATTCTCTTTCAGGGTCTTAACTTCATCGAGCTCGTGTTAAATTTATGAAGAAGGCATACACCCAAACAGAACAAATTGTAAAGATCGAGAGGCGGCGTCGCTCCGTTTTAGTGTTATAGATCCCGCAGTTAACACAAGTTCTGAAACATTCTTCGTCTATTGAACAAGGTAGCCGAATTATGCTATTTCACATGATTTCAAGACAATAGTGTAGACTAGAGCTCGAAAATTTTTGGAGAACTAGACTTAAGTCATATTCTAGATAGAGTCATTCGGTTATAACGTATAATTATTCAGCTCCATTGGATAGGTCGTTTCATTGACTGAATATTAATTGCACTTGAAAAAATGGAGTTTTACTTAAATTTTCGCATATAGTTTCCTTTAATTCGCTTGTGGTTGCACGATTTCAGAGATCACGGGTTCTATGATTATTGGTACACCCGCAGTGAGCGTAATAGTCAATCCCTCTAGTTTGGTCCGGCTGATAAAGGGCGGGAGGAGTGAATTTTACCTCCAGAAAATGTCTCTGATTCTCTCCCTCCCCCAATGATAGGCACTCGAATTCGCTTTTTAATGAATTTAGGATTTATTAAATCTCTCATTTCTTTATTTGCACTCTAAATACTAAAATGTACACCGTTCGGAAATCGTTTTATAGCCAATCTACTGCTCATACAAAAGAAACTACTCAGACTTCATTGCTGCATGTCCCAACCTATAAAAAGTAAGAAAATGTAATTTTTTCCTTATAAGAATAAACAACTGACATAAAATAATTTTAGTTGTTTATATATTCCATGCCCAAACAATTTAACTGCTGAATTTAAGTCTAATTTTATTGGTGATATTTATATATACATATAGTTTCAATTTGCGTGTAAGGTGTCCTCAATAAACAGCCAAGAAATTCATAAGAAACGAAGGGTTTAAAAATGTTTTTAGGCTGATAAATTAATTTCTGTTGCATTGTAGGTCATTTGAGAAAGCACGAAGGCGGAATAATTTTCGAAACCGCTTTTCAACTCTCGCCGTGTATAGAAATTCGTAATCTAAACGACCACTTTCTCTCATAGTTTCAGAAAATGAGCTGATTATATCTTCGGTAAGATTACATTGGTAAACTCAAAATTGTTGACATTTTATTTCGTTAAAACATTACTTAATAAGCTACCCGGGGCTAAAATGAAGATACTTGCATGATTTTATTTTATCTTCTCAAATGAACTTGAATATTGAGTCACTAAATATACTGCAAAAGACAATTGGCTGATAAGGAAACTAATTGTATACGATTCTCAATCCTTGTTTTATTTCATGTATAAAATAGTAGCTTCATCTTAATTGATCTGAAGACATAAAATTTGCATGCGCCATTTCTGCTAATAGATAACAGACAATTCGAAAAAGAATTCATTCTTTTCATCTCTACTTGCAAAGAGCGAAATAGTGTATTCCAGTGACAGCAGATAATTTGTTCTTTGAAAATCAGACATTTGAAGAATGAGAAGGATAAATTATTGACCAGTCTGTTTTCTTATTACTTGAGCAATTATCACAATTTTATCTTTGGCAAGGCTCTTTGTTATTCTACATCTAGTAGGCCAATGTGAACGATAATGCCGGGGCTTTATCTTACTAAATTATCGCACAACCTCTATGATCTGTCTAAGTAGAAAAGAAGGAAGATCAAAGACCAACAAGGCATGAACGCTGATTTTTGCAGCCTATGGAGAGTTCGAAGAAAATGTGCAGATAGAAAGGAAATTTGTGGATGGGTAGGGGAGGTGGAGGGAGGTAATAAATGCAAAACTAAAAACGTGGACTAATTCATAACCAGATCAAAAAAATGATTAAAAGTATTTTCATTAACTGGTTTCTAGTTGAGAGAGTTTCCATCTTAATCATCTAGTACATTCGTGAGCAGATGCTCAGATTAACCATTCAAATCAGCATTCACCCAGCTGACGTCCCGCTCTATTCTTGAAACACAATATCAGGATCTAAAATTGATTGAGTTGGAAATGTCTTAAATTATCGAAGTCAAACACTACTTGCTTAAAATAAGTAAACAACAATTATTTTCTCTGATGGTAACTTACCTAGCTTTGAAAATCATTTTATCCAGAGCATTACTGCTCTCCATTAAGTTTTTTCGTTCATCATTAAGGCCAAAATAGACAGCATCCTTGGTGTTTTCCAACGCAGGTCGTTCAGTACGAAACTCGGCTCGGGTTTCACATAGTTTCCGTTGCGCTGTTTTAGACGCCTTGGAGGATTGCCACTCGGCAATATCCGCGATAAGTTTTTCTTTTGTCTTTTCCAACTGAAAGAATATTATAGCAGCGCTCAAAAGTGTAAAAATAGACGTCTTTTAAACAGATGGCATAAAATATTCAAGCAATTGCTAAAAACCTTATTAAAATCCTTACTCCCAAGGTAATACTAAGCTTTTTTGTAATTATTCTAAAGAAGAGCTTGCCCCGTGATCTTAAAATAATTAAGATAGAACATTGACAATAGAAATCAATTTTAAAACTAACCTATTTGGATGAATCCGCTATATTCTTAACCACCGGTAGAGCACTGATAGCACCTACCTTGGATTTTATTAATTACTTATATATAAATGACTAAAAGGCGAAAAAAGAAAAACTATCCTCGCAGGAGATTTCTCAATGAAGACAGAATAGAGACCTGTCAAGGAATAAATTTTAAGTTAGACCACTTAGAAATACCAGTCTCAAAACCTAAAGATACAGGAATGAGACCGGACGCCGTTAAGTAAAGCTCAAAGGCCCCAAATTTTTGTTTGCCTTGAACTGAGCATCTCTCGTAGGCGATCTTTAACTCATTCATCAACCCTATCAATTGGCCAATGTTAGCAGCTTGTTAATTCACGGGAACAATTAATGCCATTTGTATTGTGATATATTGATCTTCAGGTATCAGTAGTATGAAGAAAAGTTGTGTCTAAGTGTACAGTCTTTGTTGTTCTAACAGTGTTTTGAAGAAGCTGCGCCTCTGCCACAACTCTTCCGTTGATTTTGAATCACCTCTAGCCCAGGATATAAGTCATGGAGACTGAAATTAGACATGCTAGCATTGTAAAGGTATCGGCGGCTTCATTTTAAACAAGTCGAAATAAATCATTAGCCTGTTCTTGACCAGAACGATGATCATTTTGAAACACTAACACTAAATCTAAACATATTTTTCTTCTGTTAATGTGAAATATACAGAAACATGTTGTTGATTTAAACTAAGTAAACACACTTGCCTCAATTTGCTGATAATGTAGTTCACGTAGAGCTAAGTTAATCTTATGAGTTTGGCGTCTTAGAGATTGAGATATATCATCTGCCTTTACTGACAATCTGTTGGACGCCTTATTGAAGGCATCATATAGACGTTCACACAACTCCAAGCCTTTCTTATAATATTCTTCAACAGGCGCGTATAGATCACGCACAATATCATCCCACGTTTGCATATCCAGGTTGCTAAAATAGCACACATTTATTAGGATTATACTTGGAATTTTATTATATTAGTGATATTTAAATTCGCATAAGATGCAATACGCATTTTGAAACAAATGAGCTATGTAAGCCACCAAGTACATAGGTACTGAGAAATCGGAAGAAAACGAAGACGGCAACCTTTCCAGCCAATGTAGAAACACTTGCCACTAAGTGGACAAGCATGGGGCCTATAGTGGACCATTATGGAGCTTAGAAGTGAAATGTACTCAATCACACTTCCCAATTGGTCACTTTCTTCCATCTTTGGGAGAGATTCTAAGACCTCCCCTGACATACTTCTTAAGCTTATAGGCCTTTATGCCCTACCATTCTGTATTGTCTCTTCCCTTATATTGAATAATTGATCCTATCTTCGGCAAAGCTTTCTATTGCTACATGTGTGAGAGGCAATGCTGCCTGAAACATTCTAGCTCTCCTACTTGCGCGTTACGCACTTCCTGTGCCCCAACTTTCACTAATATCACTCTCATATTTAATTCTTACTGCATAGTATTAATTTTGATCTACGCTTAAACCACAGGGTCATTCTTTCCCGTAGTCATTGAGGAACGTCCAAGTTTCATAAATTCGATAATATCAGTCTCAATTATTTCAGCTCTTTACATTTGGGACTCAAATGAATTTAAAAACACGACCTACTTTACACCTTTCCGATTATATATGGGTTTGAAACTGACATTTGCTGATTTTTCATTGATATTGAACATGTCGATGTCGATTTTCAATGCCTTATCTTTATCGGCAGCGACTTTTTCTATTTCTCGAGGAAGGTGAATTAAATCTTGAAGAATCACAGCCCCGCCATCAATTAGCAACTGCAAATCATTGCGAATCTCATTCTGTAGTTCAGACTCCTATAAGCCAAAGAGGACAAATTAATTTTATATAATTAATGAAGATTGACAGGTGGATGGTTGAAATGATGTTTCGAAACAGGGCGACTTTTTACTTTGGACTTCTAAATAGGGCAATAAGATTATTCCGAATAACTCAAAACCTTACTAAATAAGAAACTTCCCAGGTTGTGGACTGTAGCTTAATAGATGTCTTTGATGTGTCTTGACTACCACTTGCTTCTATTATAGAGAAGTTTCTAGACTATCTTTACGTGAATGAATAAACTAGTTGGTAACATGACTATGGAAGATTGTACATTTAGGTTGGTATGAAAAAGTATATGTAGATGTTTATAACAGCATTTTAGAATGATAAATATCCAATACGACTACTATTTTTACGAATCAAATAATAAAGGGAAAAGTAGAAGATCGCATTATTCGCAATACTTTTCTAAAAATACTCAAAAATGTTCAAACGAGATTCATAGTAATGCAGAATAGACTAAATGATGATCTAATTTAGTTCTTAGGCAGAAATTAAGAATTGAGGCTCAGATCAAACCACAGAAAAAGCAAACACCAAAACTTTTTTTGCTAATTACAATTGACTCTTCTTCAATAATAAAAGTACACCTCACTGACTTATTGTGAATAGTCAATTTAAATGGTCTAAACTCTAATAAGTGTGCGAAGCCATAGGTTATTGAATTATATGAAGTAGGAACAATAGATAGAGTGGAGTGAATGCCAAATGGCTGGCAAGATTTTAATTCGCAGACAAACATGTTCATTAACTTACTTTATGAAGCTCAGTTTGGACTTCATCTTTGCAAGTATCAACATGTAGTTGGGAATCTCGAAAAGCAATAGTCTCCACATTGACGCCTATTAATTCATTGAGGGTATCAATGAAGTGTTCGCCCTGAATTTTTGTATCACCAAGGATGTGAGACACTGAAATGATCATATTTATCAGTTCTTGAAGTAAGTGGAGCCACTCGCGATTACATTGGATTCGATCATGAAAGCGATTATTAACATTAAGTTGATAATATCTAAGGATAGATTTTGAGATTTATGTGGGAAATGGCACAAAGGATAAAAAGGTTTTGAAAAATACAAACTTTGCTAGTGCATCAGCTTCAATTCGAAGGGCTTTTCCTTTCTGTCGCAAAATTTCTGCTTTGTGTCGAATATCCTCTGCTGTACGACTGTAAATAGATACTGATTTCAACCATGATGCACAATAAATCTCATTGTCGGCTGCCATTTCTAATTAATGAAAAATAATATTGGGAAATAAGTGATAAAAAATTGTTTATGTTTAAGGAATAAACTTCAAATGAAATATTATGTTATTTCCTTACAAAATATAGAAGCAAATCAATGTTTTATTAGCAAATTTAAATTTTTGCTTATTATTCATAGTCATTATGAGTTAATGCGCACGGACTTAACCACCAAAAAATTTAAACATTTGGAACCCATTTTAACAAAGATTAATAGTACGATTTGTCGGCAAGGGTGAGGCATACATACTCTACGCTAGATCATTACTTACGATTGGAAATGAAACCGTCATCATTCCTATTAATAATTGAGGCAACAATCAATGGTAAAATACTGGTGAGCAAATATAATTTGATCCTTCAATATTTATTGAAAAAGCTCGAATATTTTAGACTATATGTTATTGCATTTTCAGGCAGTGTGGGATTTATATCTTCTGTCATTACATTCGATTTTCCTGTTTTACTATCATAAACTTTAGTAAAATGATGTGAATAAAAATTTCCAATTCAAAATGTATTTCTTAAAAATTGACACCATATAACATGAAAATCAAAATAATGTAATCTAAATAATAACTAATTACAGGACTTAATTAATAAAACCCAGATTTCCTTTGCAGAATTTCGATCCCATTTTTGTCAGAATTATAAAGTCCAGAGTTTTAACAAATTATTGATGTTGTGCATACAAATTTGGAGTGGTCTATTTTTTATCGTGGTAAGTATATTTCAAATCATAAGAATTTATGCAAAAATCGCATTCAAATAGATTTTATTGCTACATATATAACAATAAATTTTTCTGATATAATTTTGATATAGGGTAAATCTAATTTTAGGGTTCATTAATTTACTGTTGATATGAAACCAAGGTCTGATTAAAATTAAGCATAAATTAAAGGATTTTCGTGTTATGTCAGTTTTTTGATCCGTGATAACATGTGTGATTAAACATGCATGCTTAGGATTTATTCTATCATAACATTACATGACCTTAGAAATAAAGTAGAAATAAAGTGATTCCACAGCGCAAATTGGAACGAATTGCTTGAATCAAATTGTATGATAGCTAGTATTTTAAGACTAATATTTGCCTTTAATGTAAATCGGGACAAGTATCAAAAGGCTTCGATCGTTACTTAGTTACCACTATTTTGACAAAGATGTACAATATCATATGTGATTTTTTTAATTTCATAGTATTATCTTTTCCATTTCTTTTTATACCAGGTTTATTTCAAATTAATTCTTAATTATGCAGAAGAAAGCGAAAGGGAAAGCAGAATGTTAGTACAAAACAAAATTCCTAATTCTTATAAATCTAAAGTTCATTTAGATAAAACATTTTTACCCGATCGTTTTGAAATAATTTAAAACAGATAGAAAACCAAAGGGGCAAAGTATTCGTCGCCATTTTGAAAGCATATATTGAGAACATTACTAGGCAGACGTGCAAACATTAAAAGTAACACTTTAATAAGAACTATGAAGTGACTTATATGCATAATAGGCCTCAAGATAGTATTAGATAAAAATACAAAAAAGCTTGCAAATATTTAATATTTTACAATAAAAATTGATGCGCATTTAAAGATTTATATTCAAAACAGATTCTATTTGAGAACTGAGTGAATCTATACTATTCGTCATGCTGATTCAAAATTTTTATCATATTATACAATGGGATTTTTTAAAATTTTGTTCTAAATAGCCGTTCACTTTTCATTTCAAAATATTATTCTCATAACATTGGCTGCGTCGGGATTTTGGCATAAATGAAATACTTTAGCACTATGTAATAACATTTGTGATGTTGATATTACAAATTCTTTTAAGTTTGTACATTATTTTGAATTATTTGGACACCAAATGTAGTTGATATCTTTTAGTTGAAAAGAATTATTAATAGATGAATAAAGTGAGCTTATTTCAAATAATTACATTGGCAATTGTTTAAACATATACAATTGCCTGTAAAGCTTCGAAAAACTTCAAATATAGATAAGAACTGAGTAAATTAAAGCTTTAGGTGGCTCGATTACAATCCATTTTCCTAATCCTTACTGGCGATATGTTATCTTATCGCGGCATTTAAGAAATTGAGAAATAAGTATAATATTTTTACTAAACCGAACTCTTATAGGATGATTACTAAATATTTTTGCATAAAATTGTTTTAAAAATATTGACCATGCATTCTTCTGAACATAAACAAAATACACGCTTTAATTGGCTCACTACATAGGCTTCTAGGTCGAATCTAAAATGTGCTAAAAATTTGTTTTATTTGAAATTATGGTTGCCTGATCGACCATTTTGGACTATCATAAATAATTCTGACAATCTGACTTTTATCAGTTTTATTGCCTGTTTAATGAGAATAAATAAAATTTGACGTTGTTCTGAGAATCTTCTCTTTTATTTGCTTTGCTTGCGATTCAACGATTTTACTGTATTTGCAAGATAGCGAAAATTACTATCGCACCATAGTCGCGATTTTTTTTCTTGCAAGGCTAGCCAAGTTCTTTATGTTTTATCGAACATGTGGCATTAGGTCTGATGAATTCGGTGGCTATATTCATTTGACTATCTATTTAAATACTTGCTTCGTTTACATGTATTTCGTATTTATTTAGCCATGTTTCTATTTTATTATTGTGCTTGAAACATTATTATTCATATCCATTTTTAGAATAACTGGACTATTTTTTTTTCTAAATTTCATTTGTTATATTTTAAAGAATTATAACTATGGCTCGTAGTTCTCGCAGTTCGAAATCTTCTAAGACTCCCAAAACTCCTACCAAAAGCAAAGCAGAACCATCGGAAGAAGAACATCCAACTGAAACGAGAAGGAAGTCTCTTCGATCAGGTTCGAAAGCGCCTTCTCCATCTTCCTCAAAAGCTCCATCAAATCCAGCACCTAAAACTACAGTTGCTACTCGTTCAACCAGAAAGCGTCTCTCTGTTTCCAATGATGATCAAGAAGTGCCGAAAGTTGTCAGTCATCAGGTAGAAGCAGGCGCAAAACGGCGTCGAACTGGAGTTTGTACTTCGCCTAGTCCTGAAAACCCTCCAAAACCCATTGGTTCGGCATCTGTTCGAAAAAGACGAGTTGTTCAATTAGAGTCTCCTAGCTTTATATCTCCTTCTCCTGCTTCTAAAAGAGCCAAAGTCACTTCTCCACCTCCTGCAGGTTAGTTTCATTTTAAAATAAATCTGCTTTCCAATTCTTTGTATTCCAGTATATTCTATGTCTCTGAATTTTGGCAGAATCTACACTGGTGCCTTCAACTACACCGAAAACTAGATCAACTACTGTGATGAAACGTCGGCATCGGCAGAAGTCCTCTTCTGAATCGGAGGCCAGCCAGAGCGATCGAGAAGAGGACAAAAAGAGTACGCCTTCTCAAAGCAGTATAGGCTCAACTCAACAGAAGCGTGGAGCAAAAAGAAATCGAAAAACTCCCGTTAAATGTCCCTCTCCAGTTTTAGAGACAAAGAAATCAATTGCATCTGCAAAAACGAAGTCGACACCTCTACGAAATCAAACAGCAAAAGCCAAAAATGAAGGTGTGGTGGTGGTTAACCCAGATTCGGAGAATGGAAGCAAGGAGAAAGAAAAGTCTCCGGTCAAAAGAGAAGTTGCAAAATTAAAGAAACACGAACCCATTAGACCTCCTATGACAAAAAAGGAAGTTGAGACATTGCAACGCAAGCTACTCTTCTCGCGTCTCGTTCACGACGATCTTTCCGATCTGATTAGCTTCTCTGATCGTAAGTGCCTTCATTCAAATTTCTAGGAAATGCCCTTGATTACAATCACACTTTGTTTCTGCATTAGTTGTTAAAATTTCAAGAATTTTGTTCCCTGTTTTGTTTTGGAGACAGTGAGCGAGGTATCTGTGTACTTTTGATATATTCTGAAAAAAATCGGATTGTTTTCTCGTGTTTTATTCCCCTCATGTCTGTATGCTCACGTCATTGAGGTTTTATTTAACTTTGATAAATTGCTCTTATTAAAGTTGCTCTCTGAAACAAGTGCTTTCTTGATGAATTTAGTGCTGTCTAATTGGCCAGAAGCAGAATTGAGTAATCCAGTGACGGATTCGCCTGCTCTACAGATAATTCCAGCTTCTCATCGACTTTGGGTTTCTGGGGTAACAAATCCTTTGACTGTGAATGGTGATAGTTTTGATGGTCCTGTTCCCTTGGATACGAAGGAATCTGTAGAATTGGAAGTACCGAAAGCGAAACGAGCTCGACGAAATATTTCGCCGGAAAATAATGGAAGTGTAAGTAGGGAATTAGAGAAGGACACAGTTTCGACTGTGGATATGATTTCCGAGATCGAACAGCATCAGAGATTGTTGGATACCTTCTGTGTTGCTTCCTTCACAATTTCTCCCTTAAGAGGTGAGTTCTTAATAATGAATTAATGTTGTTTATTTTAATTCACGAAGACTTAAGTTATGTAATTCTTGATCTTTCACGTTTATCTTCCTGCAATTAATTTTATAAAGCTATTTGCGCATATGCATATTCATACTATAAATTCCGAAAAAACATGTTTTGAGTATAAAGGTTTTGGATTATGTTGTACCCAAGAAGTCGGGGTCTGGTTTTATAATGTGGCGGCGAATAATCTAAGAAAATAGACGTTACTGCTTAAGAACCAATTAAATTTTGATGCACAAGGTTATTAGATTGGGTGATCGTGTCAATATCGCTTAGAGACTTAAAATTTGTGAATTTGTTTAAATTAATATCTGCTGATAGGCAAACAAAGTCTTGTCTTGCATTCAGCGCTTATCCATGAACCCCCTCTTAATCGTATATTTAGGGTATTTTAAGTCCCTCATTTTTTGCAGAATGTTATTTCTGGCTAATATTGTATATATGATCTATTAAGTTGTTTCATGTTACATAATAGAAAATTAGTCGCGTTGATGTGCAGTCATCTTGATTGATGTCACGAGCTCAAATCCTAGGACATTTCATTAATTCACTAAGTCGTTCATTGGCAAATAGTAGGCAGGATGCCGATTTAATAAACTCCTATTTATAAATCTTGCTTAAAGACGAATGAGGTGAATGAGTTTTAGTCACTACTACGCAGGTCAAAGTATGTAGTTTGGAAAGATGTTTTTGGAAATTTGTACATTCTCTGGTCTATAATGAAAATCGGATGTAATTTGGAAACAGTGGAAGTTACTTCAAAATCGTCCTTCCTTTTATTAAAGTTACAATATTATCTATTCTATACCTTGCTCTTAAAATAGTAAAAATGACAAGGACGTTGTCACTGTTTGTTGGATCAGGGAAAAGTACCAAATGGTTGAAAAATTGGTTGTAACCATCTGGCATTCCTGTCATTCATTTACATTTATATCCGACAGAAGAGTAGCTTCCTAGGGTCTAATGATAAGCTCATTCCAATACTTCCATTTTGCCCTGTATTATTATCCATTAGGTTTCATATCAGTCTATTAGTATAAAACTCGTGACCTCTGTCTTACATCTTTTTCTAATTGAACTATGCACATTTATATTGTTGGGAAATATTGCAATAAGCATTTTTGAATTCAAAATGATTTTGGGTTGTTATTAGGTGGTAGGAGTGTGAATTCATTCTTATTTTTTAGTAAGATATTCACTATCCATCGCTAACGGAAATTTATAAAGAAATAACACCTGTATCATAACTATCTAATCAAACGATTCAACCATTTATTAAATCTATTTAATGAAACGCTTCCATCAAGTTCATAATTTTGGTAGGCGACATTATTTGAAGGAGATTAAAACGAAAGCAAATCGGTTGTGAAAAAAATGCATTTTTGACTTGAGAAACGTTAACTTGCATTAGAGTTTAATCCCGAATGCCGCTGGATATCGTTTAATGTGGAGAAGGGCTTACGTTCGTATATATTTTTTCGTCCATATCCGCGCTTCAAGAATCTCGTCGGTTTACAACGAATTCGTCTTTATTTCAAAAGATCTTCGGTTAACTAACCTTTTGATTCTCTCACTTCGAAGTAGTTTCCCTTCAAATTTCCTTCCATAAGCGGGCTTGAGTTATCATAACACTCGTAGAATTGTTTCTTTTACGAAGACTTATGTTTTCATTTCCTCGAAAGTCAGGGTATCTAATGCACGGCGTCTATTTTAATAGTTACCGCTAAACAGCATCTTTATTCTACGTTTCTGCAATCATTATGAGTTTGAATCTACACTTTTTATTTGTACCCTTTTGATTTCGAACCTATTGACCTGAAAAGGACGTGTGTACTAAATAGGAATTTTGTGTCGAACTTTCTGGTCTCTGATAGAATGGTAAGATTTTTTTATTGGAGTCGAAAGGTCGAGTAGTTTCAAACTCAGTGGAGCATTTGGGGAACAGGAGAATAAGTCCTTTTACCTTTTTTTGTAGGTGACCAGGAAAGAGACTTGGAAGGCGAATTTAGTCAAATTATGGAGGAGATCAGGGCCATTATTCCGGACGTCTTTTGCATCAAACAGCTGCCAAGCGCTTCTGCGGCCACACATTTGAAGTCCGAATTAGACTGGTTGGTTCTTTTGGCTTTTCTGCTTTGAATTCTGCCTAAGTTTTATATTAAACTGGCATGTTGAACTATGCTCAATTTCACTCCAAATCATGATTAAGGGAGGACTCGTGTCCTGAAAATATTAATATATGCATTTAAGGTCCTTAAATTAGCATTTAATTGCCTATGGAACATTCAGTGTTTGGCGTGGAGGAGGAGTGGGTGGGTAAAATTGCCAGTCTTGTTAGAAAAGAATGGGGTTGGTAGCTACATAATTAGACAGATTTAGAAAAAAATTCAGCGGATAATGGAAGCATACTATTTTAAATGAGTCCTACCCAAAATAACTCCCATTATTGCTTGCCACAGTGTCTTTTCGACGTCGAAATCTGGATCAATCCATTTTTATTCTTTCCCTGAGAAGGATCTCCATAACTCTTCGTTCTAGCCATTAGCTGACCGATTTCTGCATATTGGCACGGTTATTAATGCCTCTCCACATCGCCCAATACACACATAATAACCAATCGGGCTAGCGCCTTGGATGTAGGGGGGGGGGGGGGGGGGGGGCGAGGTACTATTGGCTATCATCGTTTGTCATCCGGAACTTAATCACAATTTTGCGTATTCATCTTAACTTAACTTGAATCCCTTCTTAAGAATGTGGAGGCAAGACACATCAGAGCCAAATTTAGTCAGACTCACTCGAAGAATATCATTTGAACTCTATACAAGCAAAACCATTCGTCATTCTGTTGGTTGTGTTTTTCTCATCGTAAAAGAATCAAATTGTGCTTCAACAAGATGTTGACCCGTGGCTCTTGTATGAGCTTGAAGTGAAGAAGGGCTTCATTGAGTGCAGGCTCCATTGTGACGCCTGAAACGCTTAATTAGCTGTAGTGACAAGTGTAATTCAGATTCCAGGGTGCTCCCACATTCTTAGACAATCTTTTGTACAAACGTAATTAGGTCAGATTGTCTGTCATTTTGTTATACTTTTGCCCGAGCAATCTCGTAATCTCAATTGCAATTCCCCATTTTACAACAGATCTTTTTTTACAGTGTTTGGAAAACATTGAACAGCGACCATAATCTCTCTACTTTTGGCCGGCGTTAATCACGATAAGTTATTACAAGTATCCATTCTCGTTTTCAACATATTTGAAACGACGAAGGGTTAAATCTTTTTCAGTAAATGCAGTATGCGTATGCACCTTTAACATGTCTGAAAAAACGGCCAGTTATTTTTCTGTCATATTTATTCTGAGCACTGAACCAAGTGAAATGTAAAAGTATCTTCAAAATTCAATGGTTCCACATTCTGTCTTTCAAGATTTTGTAAGCGTTGCATTTTTTTATAATTTCTAGTTGTGTCACATATGGTCATGGTCAAAATAACAGCCCAACAAGTAGCCGTTATGCTTAAGTCATATGATATTTTATTTTTTAGAATTAAGCAACCCAGCATATTCGCGATTTGCCATATTAAAATTTCCTTCAAAATAATCCTCGCACTCTATCTAATCAGTGTGTTCTATATAATGAAACATTGGAGGTGGAAAGGAAGATTCGTTTGTGAAATTATCATATTTGCTCTTGGGTTTGAGGATTTTTGACTTCTGTCGTGAAAATTTAATATTGTTCTTTTGTATTCCTTTTGTTCTTATAGTTAGGGTCAGTTGAGGTTTAGCTTTGTGGTCTATGAGTTTAGAATTTGCCTAGTTGCTGCTTTTCATGAGAAGGGATTGCTTCCACTTTATTTTTTGATTACACATTTCACAACGCGGTCTGTGTTTGCTTTTGCTTTTCCAGGCTCTTTAGACCCTTTCTTTATCTAACCCTGTATTTGCAAATTGGGCCCTATTTGGAGCCTTTTAAATTCCCTTAATCCTAAGTGTCGCGTGTTTTTTGTTCTGTCGGGGAAACTAAAATTCCTACTTTATGTTTCCTTTATTTGGCCAAATAATGATCAATCAAAGTTAACCGCTGTTATTATCTAAGGAAGTAATTGGGAGTTCATTTATTTCCTGTTATTGATATTTGTGCTGCATTTTTATGTTCATTTCAGTCTGTATGGATCAAAGTTTTTATTTGAATTGTGGCAGACGACTAGTTTTGCTATCAATATGGTTCAGCCTGCTATTTTTACTATTAGTAATATTTTCAATAGAGTAAATAAGTAATTGTTCAATATACATTAATAAGGAGTTCATTTTCGGGATTGGCTAGATATTGTCGGTAAAATTGATTTCGCTCAATTTTCGAAATACCGTCAAGGTTGAGTGCAGATTTTTTGCGCACTTTGTCTTGACATATTTCCTCACCTAATTGATGATCTTTGACTTTTTAGTCATGGGTATCAATGCTCCGGATGTAGTGACACTAATGGGGTGTCGCAGTCTTTCATTTTTTTCAATCGCGACGTCTTCACTGAAGTCTCCACCCATCGACGTGCTGTACAGTCCATGGCCCGAAATGTAAGTCTCTACTGCATTTTACAAGTAGCGCTTTCATTCTCATCTGGCTATTTTCACAAGGTTTCGTCTAACAAAGCTAACTGCTAATTGCTTAGTCCGTCGCGTCTATCCTGCTGTTTCCTTACTCCTATGTTACTTAAAACACAAAGTGGTATATTATCAATAGAGTCAAGATTTCAAACCGATGATTTAAATTTTCACCCTATGCAGATTGAATAAAGGTTTCAGGGGGGTAAGACTGTGGTATCTTATTACTGGAATAGAAAAATGACTTTATACAGGGTGTTTTTTCCAGTTGTGTTAAAGGTACTTACACGCACATCGTTTGAGTAGAATTCTTAGAAAGTAGCGCACTTTCTTAGTTTTCTTTTAAATTTGTTGAATTCGGTCGTCGCAACCCAACTATTTCTTAACGAGACACGATTTAGGCTGAACAAGTGTATTTGCTTAGACAGGCATGCATTCTGTTAACCTTTTTTTCTACAAGCATTAATTGTAAGTCCAAATAATCTAAACCACTTCGTTTTTTTCATAAGTGTTACTTATTTTTGGTATCTAGTATGTTGTGTTGGATTAGTGACAAATAGGAATAGGCGCACAAGTTATGTGTTAGGAGCCTTTCCTTATTGCGATTCTGTAGCATAAGAATAGGAATAATAAGCGTAATTCAATTCTCAGCACCCAATTAATTCACAATTGCGTTTTCGATTTCATTCATTCTACTAAGTCGGCTAGTATCATCTAATCGCAATCTTGTTACCATTCCACTGACCCATTTGGACCTTGGATTGAATCCTATCTTTAATAGCTCTTGAATAGAAAGAAGAATTTGCCCCATTTTCTGCAAAACGAGGGTCAGTATTAGCAATTTTGTACGGGTTATAATTTGACTGGTAGCAGAAGCATGCGTAAGAGATTGGGGGTGTTATAGACTGGAATTTGTAGCTATTGCAAATTAAATTGACTTTACTCGTCGAATTGACTAATTCCACTGTCAATACAGATCGGCTGCTGTTTTTTATTTGCTTTTAGCATATAAGTCAAGACTATAAATAATCAGTTGAGTCTGTTTACTTCATCAAAGACAACCTTTAGTACTCCAATTATGCAGGAGTTCAGATTTTCTGTCAATCAGATTCCGTTCTTAACAGATGATCAATGATAATTATCAATTTTAAAGTCATTTTTATTTCCTAACATTCAACGGAGAATGTCGCGTATTACTATCACGGTTTGTGCCGGTCAAATTAATCAGCGCTCTAACTCAATTTGTTTTATCACAAACCTTTGTTACTAGCACCATTGTAGTAATATTTAAGTTTTTTCTTTTTGAAGTTAGTGGAACAGAGTGCCTATCCTCAGCTATGGCGTGATACTCTAATTGAATCACTTACACCGATCACAGGAGCTGGTGATTCCAGTAATCAATCGCAATTACTGGTTTCAGTATTACGTCATACATCTACTGGATCCCTTTTACTCTTTGCCTGTCTCGCAGATCGTCGTAAAAACGAAAATGGAGACATCTTCCGCTCATCAGTACTACCAGATACAAGTAAAAACTCAAATATCTCCATTCCACATGTCGAGGGTGGCTGTGTCAGCAGTTGTACCTCAACAATTACTGTCTCTGTCGCTGGGCGTCATTCTCCCAAAAGTTTTAGCCCTGCTGATGCCATAGGTTGTGAATGGTGTCCACGGACCCTAGGTTCAAGACCAGATTTGGCTGCCATAGACGCCACAGGCTGCATGTGGGCTCTAAAGGACGTTTGGGACGAGGTTTTGGAATCCGTCAAATCTCTCGTCAATGGTGGATTAAATGGGTATTCATCTGTATCCACTATGAGATGGGTGCTCTGTGCAAATTTGGAGGCTTCGCCTACTTCACCAGTGTATCAAATCATTAGAGATGGATATCCTTCGGATGAGAGTATCACGCGGCTAAGAGCAATGCGTAATGTTCATCTTAAGGATCACGACTTCTTTGATGCTACAGTGAGTATTCTTTCCATTGATTTCAATTTATTATTGCAAACTAACGATCAGTCACACCTTTGTTGGTTGAGTTATTTACGAAGAGTTTAAAAATCGGGGTACTTTTGCAATTATAGTTAAATATCGAATGTTTAATACTGTTGGATTTTAAAGAAGAATAGTGTCTCACTTGACACTTCTCATGCTAAATATTATTTGATTTGTTTATTTACCTATCTTCCTTCTAATTTAAAGTTATTTTGGTAATAGACCTAGCAATTTGTCCAGTTTGATTTGGTATTTTTGCTTGTAATTAGTGGGTTTCGTATTTAAAATTATTTGTGGTCAATTATTATCGGTTGTTAGTGTACTTTGTGTATTATCTTTCAATACGTTTTTTCGAATTCTTTGAAAGGCTGGAAAATGGCGATGTTTTTTCTTTCATCATGTCAACTACCAAGGGGCAAGCTTTTAAATATATGACTTACTTAACTGACGCATTTCAATCCGAAGTGCTCCAGACTTTCCTTTAATGTGTTCGGTATTTTGTCAGCATTGCTTTAGTCTCTTTGGAGATGCTACACTCCTGTCTCTTTAGCTTCTTCATAACTTAACTTTATAACAATAGACATGTTAGCTCAACCTTACTATTTTTCAGACGCTTTTGGATCGGCTGTGGCATGCTTTCCAGCACACCTGTACAGACGTTTGCAGTTGCTACAAATCAGTCATGGGTATTGAGCCACCTTTCACTCGTTTCGTCGCAACGACGCCCTCTACAGATGGTTCTAACAAGACAGCAATCACAGCTAGTGTCGATCCTCGAAGGTGCGTGGACTATATCTTCTGTTCTGGATCCAGTCTCCAACCTCGTCAGGTTCTTGTCCCACCCTGCCGAGCCACCCTTAGATCGACTAACTCCAATCCATCCGCAGCTCATCATGAGGTTGTTTTTTCGCTGGCCTCAAAAATTGGAATAGTTGAAATGAACCCTGAATACTCTTCATCTACGAATCCGGTAGCGGTATCGTCGTAGTAGAACACGGACTTTTCATGGCCTAGTAATTCACGTGGAGTGGGATTGTAAAATGGCAAATGAAATTTGCTTAATTCCCTTATCTCTTTCTAGGAGACAGGAAAACTTTGTCTTCCAGACCTCTTCTGTATTGCTACCCCTTCTTCATTATCGACATTTCATCTTTTTCCTTCCACCCTACCCCACCCAACGCCATTCCTTTCTTTTTCAACTTATTCTCCAGCTGTTCTATGAAGGTGCTATTTTGTCAAAACGAGATTTTGAAATTTCAATGGAAAGGTGATATTCTGTTCTCCTACACCTGCATATCCCCTACTTACAAGTGGTTTGTGCGTTCTCTTCCCTTTCCATTCCCCATTCTTTTTGTCTTTGGGAAGTACTGTGCGTGTCTGCCAACAATTGTAATACAATTTGGAAAGTGTTGAATATAAAAATTATGTTGAAGAATAATAGTACCTTTATTTCCTTCTGAACACAGATCAATTACGATAGAGCTGTTCGAAAATGCCAATATTTTGGAAAATTTTTCTTATCTTTATTAGATCTTAAAAGGATTCTAATTAAGACCTTTGAATTACAAGAATAATTTAAACATGGTATTGACTCGATAGTGGATTGTGTGTTAACGAGATGCACCTGTGCGTACTTAAGAAGCCCTGCCATACAGATGTCCAGTAGGTAAAATTTCTAGATGAGGATATCTTCCCAATGGTGATGCTCACTAACCCCTAATGTCTTTAAGTTTGTGTATCACATAATTTTCATTAAATTTCCAATTATTTACTATTCTGGTAGGCGACAAAAACATAGCCTCCCTGAGTAATTGCACTTGTCGCGACAAGGATCAGCCTAACTCAGGTGCCGAGTCATCCACTTTATTCTCCGAGGTTGTTAATTATGCCATTAATGAACTTGCGTGAAGTAAGTAAATGCAGCAAAGCCGGCAATTCGTTTAAGGCGCTGGAATTGAAAGGCAAAAAGAGCAATAAAATTATTTTCGACAAAAATGACATTGGCGCCTAATAAACGGTTGGATTTATGAAGTCAGTTCATATTACCTTTGACCTGTTTCCATTCGTCCATACACCTACAAATGACGACAGGAATTAACACGTCTAATTTTGATCACATGATTCTATATTGCGTTAATAAGAATAGCTTTTTGAAAGACCTCGGCAGCCCTGTTCGCTGGATGGGGGAGGGCAGATTATTCAACGCAAGTCGCCATATCTCAAAGCAAGTTTGTCATCTGGCGCGGCACTGATCTTCGGGATTCTGTGAACTTTATTTGCTTAAGGTACCTTGGGTAACAACTAACCACCAGTTTAAAGGAACTTGTTTTAATGGATATGCTATAACTGAGAACAGTTTTTGTAGGGTTGCAGCACAAACATCAGCTCAACCAAGTAATATTTAATTCAATAAAAAGCATTGCAAATTGTACTGGTATTCTAAGAACAATGAAGTTGAAATTACATTAATCCTTCCGTTTCCTAGCCTCTTTTTGTCGCAAAATACGCCCAGTGCAGCGTCACTTCCATCCTTCCACCTTTCAATTGGGGTTCAACTTTAAACTGTTGAATTGGATAATTTTGCTTAAGAACTCCATTATGCTTCAAAGACAATCAGTCCCTGCATAATTGAATCCCCCTTCATTTACACAAATCAAGACATATTTCATCACCTGCACTCCATAAAAATGCTACCTGCCGTCCAGTTATCAATCTACAGCCCACCTACTTGTGCCAACTTGAAATTTATTTTCTATTCAAACTGCCAATAACTGGTTATTACTGTCCTTTCTTATACAGACCGATTGTCAACTCCATAGGTCAATTATCAATCGAATAAGCTGTTACCGAGATGGATTCAGTCATCAAACCTCAAGTAAGCCGTCGCTAAAACAGAATTCTCAACACTTGCATATCCCAGCTTCCATTATGACCACAGCCCTCGCCTACTTTTCTGGCTATAAACGACTCACTATTGGTGTCCATAGCGTTTAAATGCAGACCCGAATACTTAACTCTTAGTGCAACCAATAAAATCCCTCATCAAAACCTTCAGCACGTTTTTGTTCTTATTTGTTTTGTTATGTCAAGAATGAAGAACAGTGAGATTTAGTTAGCTAAGTTCCCACCTTCTCATTCGCTACATCTACTAGTAGCGAAATTCTGTAAGCAAATACATGATTAATGAAGTCTTTATACAGTGAATCAGTCCAGCATGAAGAAAGTCATCTATGCCTCTTCATCAAAGTCATCAGGATGAGACTCGTTTCCATCCACTTCGGGACCCAAACGTCTCCTTTTCGCTCGTCTGGCCTCCAGTTGTTTCTGCCTCTTGTCATTCAAGCGAAGAACCTGTAGGTAAGAAAATAAGGTGTATAAAATTATGACCAAAACACTAACAGAGATCAAAATAGAATGCCAGTGCACGGAGTAGTTAATATACTGGTCTGTGAAGTCAGATATCACGAGTTCGATGCTTACAGGTGCACTACAAACAGAGGAGAATGGCAAAGCACACTCGATGTGGCAAAACACGGGACTCTCAGTAAGGAGAGACCACAGGAGTACTCCTAGACTGAAGATAAGCTTTGACACTGGTCCCAATGGGCTTGAAATTAAAAAAATCACCAATCCTGAAAAATGGAGAAAGATAAAGTAACGGATGGTCTCACCAGAACAGCAACTGCGAAGGTACAAGGAAATAGTTCAGGAACAATAGAAATAAAATATTATCTACTACTATGCGGAGTCCGATAATCAAACGTGAATTTTGAGTACAGGTATAAATATAATACACCAATTCACTAAAATTAACCATCACCCTAACATTAAAAAACATGCGAATTGACTAATACCAACTGTGATTGAATACAAATGCCTAAATTAGGAATTTTATTCAAATTCCCCTAACGTGGTTTACATCAAGTCGTAATAATTACAAATTATACGAGTTCGACTTGAGTAAACTCTGGTGGACCTTGTGTTAGTAATATTAGGCAGCTCAAAATGCACAAAGCGGCTAATCGCCACACATTGAAATCGACGAAAGAAGAGAATTGACACTACGAAGAAAAAAATATAAGTAAATTTGATGTTTGTATAAGTACATTAAGTCGATGTTCTTGGCCAACCGTTGTAGTTCATTCTAAATAGTCACGATCCGCATCGCATAGATGGGATTGACATGCTGACTTCGGTAGTGGAAAGAGAAAGAACTGAAATTGCGTGATCAGCTGTTAAAATTAATCAATCGATCAGAAAGCCTTGTGCAGAGCAGGAAATCTGGACGACGAAAGATGCGGCTTGAACATTATAACAGAAAAGGCACTAAACAATGGTTAGTAAGCAAAAATGGAGAAACATGAACAAGGAATTTAAGCGAAGACTTTTCTCAACAGACTCTACACTTGGGCTTTATCCCTTGCCTTAACAAAATCAAGAGTACATGTTTCGTAGCAAATGATAGAAGTATATACAGATACAGTTAAGGCTGCACATACCGATTTAGCATGGATAGAGGCCTCATCAATCAATCGAATGAGTTGTGAATCAGTTCTGGTAGGATCAACCCAAGCCAATTGAGGAATCAGTGTGCCCAGAACCGACTCGATAATCCGTAGCCGAGTGACAGAGTAGGGTGTGACAAGAGTGATAGCACGTCCAGGTCGGCCTGCCCTAGCAGTTCGACCGACACGGTGAATGTAGGACTTGGCAGCCTCACTCCATGATGTCGGATTGCTGGGAACGTCATAGTTGATTACCAACTGGACTTCTGGGATATCAAGACCCCTGAAAAGATAACAATAAAATGGAATGCAAAGAAGAGCAGCCTTGATGTGATCCTCTGGGAAATTTCTAAACCATCGGAACAAGTCATCAAGGATAACACGAAAGATAGCTTAATAAAAGATCGCAGCAATGGCAAGTCAACCAAGAAGCCAACACTTTTGGCAAAGATTTCTAAGTGCCGATTCTCAAACTTCGAGCCAACTTGGGCGAAGATATTAAATGAATGCGGATATTAGCAGAAACGAGAAACTTGCCTTTAATCAACCATCATCCTGGGTTTAAAGTCCAATAACCCTGAATCATGGGAAAAAGGTAATCGAAATGCAACATAGCAGGCCATCATCCTTAACTTTTTCATTAATTTAATAATATGATTCATCTAAGGATTTTTTTGGAAAAGCAAATATCCTCTGGTGATGGATAACGAAGAGGTAAAAGTTCCGAATTCTATAAAATTAAGACCAGCGACTATCGATGGTTCAGTAATTAGAACCAATTTAGAGTGAATTTCGTCATCATCAAAGACTTCACAGAAGTAGAGAATCCCATTTATATAAGAGATTAGCACAGTATTAAAGAAAGAGGGTTTAACTCTTATAAAATTGTCATGTCAAATCTGAGAGGTTGAGAAGAATACAAATGTACTTTCCAGAGAAGCATTTAATGGCTCGACAAATGACTACTACAGTTAATGAGGTAATCTTGGTAATTATGGTTTCCTGGGTAATGCAATAGCGAAAAAGTTTGAAAAAACTACAAGGTGCAAGAACGCATTTTAATGAAAGAAACGTATTCATGGTCTCAGGACTTCTTGAAAAAACTAGACCGAGTTTAGTGGCAATGAACAAAGAATTTTTCAGGGCGAGAAAAAATGATATCTATAACACACCATAGCATTATTTTCAACCGCCATCGAGACGTTACCTTAATTTTGTTATCGATTAAACTTGTTTTTGCTTCTTTCACTCTACTCTATGTATGATCGATTCATAGGCCTGATTATCAACATTCCGACGTTATCTACTATCTGTTTATTTTTACATTCCAATCTGCAAATCAACCCAATAATCTCATATTTCCACTTTTGATGTTCAATCTAGTTTGGAAAAAGATTAGTCATTCTGCTTTCACCTAAACTGTTTGTCCCTCGGAAAAGCGTAAAGTGTAACAGAGCGTGCTCACCTGCTTATTTGAACAGTTAAGACAACCTGTAGTACGACAAAAATCGGATAAAAATGAGAAAAAGAAAGCTGGAGAGAAAGCGCTACAGCTAAGGAATAATGTTAACAAATGACAAATATATATTCCAGTGAAACACGACGTTTATGTAAAACTAAGTCGCGATTAGAAACCAAACAATGGCAGACGGCGTAAATCAACAGATAAAAACGAGGAATGAATTTACCAGCACTTCTTCATAGAGAAAATGAGATCCCGTCTGCCAAAATTGGGAACCTCTAACTAGTTGCATACAGAGTTAACTAGAACAACTTCACGTGGCTTCCACAACACATCACAGCAATCAACTCTTGAGAAACGAAAAATAGATCCCCTCAAAAATATAGAAAAGTTAAAAGCTATCGGAAAGAATGGCTGCAAAATCACTTAAAAGCTCGTTATTCAGACATTCAGAATGAAAAAAGGCAATTCTAGCAAAGCTCGACGCTTACAAGGATGAGTGTTCTAACGATTCTGGAACATAGGTTAATTTTCTTACTCGTGCGATATATACTTTAGTTTGATAGTTAACCGTGACCACTTTAAAACGTATTTAGAAATCTTTCTAAGAAAAAAAGTCGTACAATGCGAAAAAATATAAAAGTTAAAGGCAACGACATTACCTTGAAGCTACATCCGTAGCGACCAAAATATTGGCTTCCGACGATTTGAATTTCTGCAGAGCGCTAACTCGCTTTTCTTGCGGCATAGAACCATTCAAAATGACCACTCCATCTTTGCTCGTAATGTGCCTTAGCATCTCCCCCACAAGTATGGATTCTCTAGCTGTAGCGACGAATACAATCGTTCGGGACTCACTAGTTGTCTAAAAGTTAGTACATGTTAAAAATTAATAGGTTCAATTATAGATTTTGATCAAAGAAAACTTATAGACATACACTTCCACCGAGATCGACAAGCAACTTAGCAACGTAAATATCCTTTCTCTGATCAGGTAGAAACACGAATGCATGATCAAGATTCTGAACGGTTGTATACTTCGAAGCGGTTTCTAACCGAACTGGCATTCGAAGACAGGCTGATTGAACCTTTTCAAGCTAATAAATATAGATTATAATTATTCAAGGCTAAGACGTTACGTTTTTTGACATTGTAGCTGAAAAGAGATAAGTCTTCCGTTTATCTGGAAGTCGAGATAGTATAACATTTAACTCAGTTTCAAAGTTTCCTCCAAGCAAGTGATCAGCTTCATCCAATACAAAATAATGAAGTTTGTGAAGAATAAGTTCTTTGGTATGTTCAATATGATGAAGGACACGACCAGGTGTTCCGACAATGATATGATGCTTGGTTTGCTTCAGGGCTCTTTGTTGGTCTTCAACATGCTGCCCACCAACCAAGCATATTACCTGAAGACCAAACTTGGATCCAAGGTCAATAAAATGCTGTCTAATTTGCATGGCAAGTTCTCGAGTAGGGGTGAGAATTAAAGCATAATTATAGCGTGGTTTGGCCAAAAGATTCTAAATCAAGGATAGGAATAATGAAAATGGTAATCATGCCTGAAGTATAGGTATCGCAAAAGCAGCAGTTTTACCACTGCCAGTTTCAGCAAGACCAACTATATCTTTCCCAGACAATGCAACACGAATCACCTTCGATTGAATTTCTGTAGGCTTTTTCCAGCCTAATTCTTGGCAAACATCGCAAAGTTCTTTGCACACACCCTGGATTAGGTAAAAAGTAAAAAATGGTTGCTTACCAAATCGACGAAGGATGACATTGCCGTCTACTAATAGAAAAAAAACAACACATTGAAATCAGGTCAAAAAATATTCATAAGTGAATAAAAATAGGAATTTGCAACAAGTACATAAATTCAGTGAGGGCGACAAAAACGTGAAAAGCTCGAACTTGTAATTGGCGTACAGGATTTAAATTAGCTAAACATTAATAGATACACATTTAATTTGATTTATATGCTTAATGTGAACATCAATATTTTATTCTACATTTAATTTATGATCTATGGGCTATTTAAAATAGAATATAATGTTAATTGCATATTTGGTAGTCTCAAATTCAAATAACTTACAAAAATTCTTTTTGTTACTGAATTAACAAATTTACATACACTTTAAGAAAGATAATTTATGGAAAAGAATTTATATAAGTTATATAAAAGAAAACGTCCATTCAAATTATCGATGTAATAATCATTGTTCTTTGATTCTCCACATCTTCCTTTTCTCTGCCTTTGCGTTTGCTTGTTTCTTTTGCATCTGTGACGTACTCTGGTACTCCTTCCCTCTGTGAAGCCCAAAGTCAGCTAACAGGCTAGTGATAACTACCAAAACGCCTGGACTTGCAATGAATGAATGTTCATTGAACCAAAATATATGAAACTAATATTACTTTGAATTGTGTAATTTGATAGTGCAGTTGTCCTTCTATATAAAAAATGAAAACTTTTAAGAGAGCTAGAAGGAACTTTGAGCCAATTTACCTTCTATTTTAATTTCCATGTTGAAATAGATATTAAAATGCATTTTTCACGATAATAAACACATCTTTCCATAGTTGATCTATATTTCCAATACTATGAAATTCCATAATATGCTCTCTTAATTTCAAATAGCTTATGTGGGTGAAAAGTCACTTCAAATCTTCATCTTAAACTTCACATAGCCCATTTCTTGACATTTAGAGATTGTTTGTGATTTGGCCTATTCAAATTATAGAGCTTTAGGAATTGGAAAGCAACCAACTTGAAAAACCTTCACTTTGTCTTCCTTCAAATAATTATCTTAAAAATACCTAAAATGAACTGGATTTACGTATTTATAAATTACTGATGAATAAATACTCCTTTTAGAAAGAGAATAAGAAGATCTAAAGAACAAATGAAAAAGTATATTTAAATTTGGTAAATAAATATTGTAGTGTTTCTGAAGTGGAAAAGAATAGCTGATATCGGTTTTAATCGTTGCCACTTACCGGCGCGCTCCGTAGTTTTTATCGGTTGGTAATGTCATATGCGGGTAATTGTACCCCTCAACAATCTGGTCAAATGTTTGTAAATAAAATAAAAATTATCAGAACTGGAGGCAATCGAACAGTTAAAAACACTTTGGAGCCTTTTTATTTACTTGAACCGGAATGGCCACTGACAGATAATCAAATCACCGGTGCCAAAAACCTAATTGATCATTATGGTTTAAAAAATGCTTATCAAAAGTATTTTCGTGGTAATCTAAAAGAGGAACTTTCGGGGTTTTTAACCCACCTCTCTGGAAATGTAAATACTCCCTCGTCGTCTGATGAAAGCGGTCTAATGCATTTAATTGAACGTCCTCCCATTCAAGGCAATTCCTTTCAAACATTTAATATTAGCCAGCTTGATTCTGCGGTCAGATTGCACCCTGGTCCCCTTCCTCAGGAGTTTATGTCATATTTTGTCGCACCGTCCCCTACTCCTAATGCTACTAGTAATGGCCCATCATCTAATGAAGCCGGTTCTACCCCCAGTGCCAAAAAGCGAAGACGAGATGTTCATCGGTCTGGAGTTGGTAGCGTGGCATCTTCGGATTATGCTCCTTCATCTTCTCTCTCTCATTTTCCCTCATCTAATCCTTCTTCAGCCATGGTGCGCGGTCAGCCGCATCAATCCGTTCATCATACCTCTAATCAGCATCATCATCCCTCTTCGGCTGCCATGGCACCGCATTCTGGACCCCTTATGAATCCGTCAGTTGCTTCGTCGTTGTCCTCGGGAATTAGCAAACCTGCAACCTCCGTAGGTTACTTTGCTACTCCACCTGCAGCAATGAAACGACCACTTGATGAGCTCTATAATTCGCAGACTCCAAGTGGATTGGCTTCGTCCGTGGAGTCACCTGGTGGGGGTGGGTACGATTTCGATGACGAGATTCGGCGAAAAAGGCGACGAAAAGAGAAGAAGAGCGGCGGTAGCTCAAGCCGAAGAGATAGGATTGATTAATTATACTTTTACCTTTGCTCTTCTGTATTTTATCAATCAATGCTATGATGCTAGTTTTGGTCTATTTCTCCTCTTAAAAATTGACTGTTGACTAGAGGGTTTTTGGCTTTGTTGTATTTTGGAAGGCGCTGGGCATGAGGGGGGTAATTGGCGTGTTTCTGTCCAGCTCTTGTGTTCGATGGATTGTCCTCTCTCTCTCTGGTTAATGAACTTTCTTGTAAGGCTCTATTTTACTTGTGATACAAATATTATCCCCTTGAAAATATTTATCGTTACAGAGGATTCGCCCATTCAAATTCGGCAACATCTTTAGAGTATGATTAAAAAAGTTGCCTTACCATTGCTTTATCCATGGGATAGGGTGTTTCTAGGTTTCTGAGACTTGGGTTTCCCCAACTGGACTGTCGCGACCCAAGTGAGTTGGGTAACTATGCAGCAGGTATTGGACGTTACCAAATTCTTATTTTTCCCTTTAGGGGTGCGTGATAGACTTACCTCCACGTGGTGCACCCTGGGCAACGTATACTCATACGGCAAAAAAAGTCTATTAACTGGCGATTGACTTCTGGCGCAGTACTCATTCTACCTTTTCTCTGCCTTCATGTCTGTCTCTTTACATCTGTAAATCACTCTTCTGTTCCCCACCCCTCGACTTTCTGTTACTTTGATGTTCCTTCCCCCTGTGAAGCCCGAAATCAGCTAAAGGGCTAATGATAACTATCAAATCGCCTGCCATTTGAAATAAATATATTTTTCCCCTTAGTGTTATTTATTTATTTATATC